CACGGCGGTGCTCAGCCCACACAAGGCATTCCGCTACAGTGTGTTCCACCGTGTCCTCAGGGCGGTCCTCGCAACTAACTAGTCTAAACCTTTACCACAGGGCCACCAAGATACAGGCTGTGCCTAGTTTGGGGCCCACGGGAAGCTCTACCGTATTTGCATTTATGTGAATGCTGTTCGCTTCCATGCCTACATGTAATTTAACTTGTGTATGCCAATAAACAAACTTTTTATTTATTTTTATTCTGCGATCTCCGACCTACCTGCCGAGCGTGAAGATTTTGGTAAACATCTCTTGTTTGTCCCTTATGACTGCTTTGTCGGCCGAGTGGTTGCAAGTACAATTGCCGGGCTAGGTGTCTCTAGTTCGATTCCCTAGTCAGGCAGAGTATTACCGGGTTTTAAAAAAAAAAATCAGTTCTAGTACGGAGTCTGGAATTGTGCCCGGTTTATGGCAATAGACTCACCTCCTATTACATGGGACTCGTAACATAAATAGTGAAAAGTGGGTGTTACACTGTACAGTGGCATTAAGTGTGTATGTACATGTGTGCTCGTGTGACATAATATCATAAATTGATTTCCTAATAACAACAGTGACCTTAGAAAATGCAATTTAGATGTCAATAATAAAAACATTATCATTCATTGTCATTACCAGTGTTTTTATCAATATATTCAGGAATAAAATCACAGTTATCTTGAACATTAATAAAAAATATTTAACATGCTACATTACAAGTATACACTTATCGAAGGATCTTACTTTAAATCATAAATTTGTATTTTCATTATCTGATAATGTTATTTTCTTAGAAATAATTCTATTTAAGGTTTCTTGCACAGTCGGAAAAATCGATTTTTAATGCAATATAATGCTGACTGACTTTAAATTCATCAAATGTTTGGATTTCATCATTATCACCATCGTCATCATCAACCACTCATCATCACCCATCAACTGATGGACTATGAGCCTCCTCTACATAAGTGGGATTGCCATAATGTCTGCAAGGAGACGGGTTAACACGGATGGGGCCCAATAGGGCTGATGCCGACACAGGCCCGTGGAGGAGCTAACGGGTTGCCAGGAACTCAAGCTCGAAGTGCAGGAGTAGGAACGGGGTGGTTTTTAGTCAGTAAGAGTCTGACACTCGCCGCCTCACTCAAGCGGGAGAAGTTATTGAATGATATTCTCCCCTTAAAAAAGGCAGGCGAGTTGCAGATCGCCATCTGATCCAATAAAATCTCAATAATTCTTCAATGTCAAAACTATACATTAATAGCTGTTAAAATAGCATTCAGAGTACGGGCGTCCAGTAACCTCACCCACACGACGAAATACAATGCAAGCGTCACTTCGGTCGAGCTGACTCATTAGTGCGAAGCATGGCTCTCCCATATATTCTTTCTTTGCTTCTTCTTTATTTCTTTTTACAAGGCCCTTAACGCACTTGAATGTCCTCTGGTGTTGCGAGTGTGTCGCAGAGAACCTAACGGGTTGCCGGGGGGCTCCGGCTCGACGTGCAGGAGAAGGGACGGGGTGGTTTTTAATCAGTAAGAGTCTGACACTCCCTCCCGCCTCACCCAGGCGGGAGCAGTCATTCGATGATTTTCCCACCTTAAAAAAAAAAGTGTTGTCAGTCCGTATAATTATCAATACACTGGAACTAGAATTTTGACGTTGAATTAAAATATATACTACACATAAGTACCTCTTGACTAGTCCATACTATCGTAATTTAAACGGAATCAAACCCACTTAAAACCACTCTAGAGTCAATACCTAAATCTTGAGTACTATTATTGTAGTGTAGAATATTTCCTCTATTAAACTATTTATCTAATGTAATGTAGGTTAAGTGGTCCCAAGTAGGTTAAAAACTAGATATATGTATTTTGGATACAATTTTGTAGGTATTATGATTTGGTAACATTTTTATTATCTATAGATCTCTTCTTCATTGCCTGCCTCGTTGGCCGAGTGGTCGCAAGTGCGACTGCCGAGCAAGGGGTCTCGGTTTCGATTCCCGGGTCGGGCAAAACATTACTGGGTTTTTAAAAATCCCAGTAGTGTCACGGAGTCTGGAAATGTGCCCGGTATATGGCAATAGGCTCACCCCCTATTACATGGGACTCATAACATAAATAGTGAAAAGTGGGTGCTACATTGTACAGTGGCATTAAGTGCCGTAATGTGCACTTCTGCCTACCCCTTCGGGGATAAAAACGCGTGATGTTATCTTATGTTATAACATGTTATGTTATGCTCTTCTTCATCTGGACTGAACACTGCGCCTAGAATTCACAAAATAAAAATAAAATTTTGGCATATGCGGATTACATTTATTTCCAGCTGGAGCCACGGTTACCCGCAAGGTCGCCCGCAGCCACAGGTCGGCTCCGCAGCTCGGGATTGTGATTTTATCATACGTTTTTTAATGAATAAGCCGGTAAACGAGCAGACGGATAACCTGGTGGTAAGCAATCGGCGTCGCCCATGGACACCCGGAACACCAAAGGCACCAAGTGCGTTACCGGCTATTTGGGGATTATGAATTTGAGGAATGTTGGGAATTCAGGGATTGGGCAGATTAGGGAGACGGGAGGGAGGGGGGGGGTAGTTAGGCCTCTGGTAATCTCACTCACACGACAAACACAACGCAAGCGTTGTTTTACGTCGGTTTTCGGCTCGGTCGTGATATACCTCCGGTCAAACCGACCCATTCCGGCCGAAGGATGGCTCTCCCACACCTAAAACCTAAGTTTTGAAATAGTAAGAAATCTATTAATTTTGAACTTTATCAACCTACTAGCATCTGCCCGCGACTTCGTACGCGTACCATCCCATTTTTACCCGTCCCCGTTCGTGATTTTCGGAAAAAAGTAAAACAAAAAATTTGGTTAAAAAGTATCCTATGTCCGTCTCCTGGTTCTAAGCTACCTCCCCACCAATTTTTATCCAAATCGATTTAGCCATTCTTGAGTTATAAATAGTGTAACTAACACGACTTTCTTTTATATATATAGATTATTACGTTTCAAACGATAAATAAAATATTAGATTTAATAAAAATATTTTGATAAAGTAGGTATAAACTTTCATTAATGGAGTCCTAACAATCTATTGACAATCTCGTAGATAGATATTTTTTCCTAGAATAAATTAGCTATTTTTGTTAATGAACGGAGTACTAAAACTATTTTGTTTATCTATGAACTTGTATATGGCTATGGTTTTGCCTGCTTTGGCTATGATTATCAGTGTAACCGTCTGTACATCCAAGACAGTTATTCATGTCCTTGTGACGTTGGATTTCAGTGTTCCGGTGTTTGCATGGTTGTATCTACTGTAGAAGCTGATTTACAGGAGTTGCAGCGGTTTTGGGAGGTTGTGGTGGACTTGTCCTGATAATTAGTTAAATAGAGAATGGACCCTAGCTTTGTATCTGTTGGGAATTTAGGAAAAAGACTGTAGGCATGATTAGTGTAGACTTTGATTTAATTCTTTGTGGTAATTTGATGATGATTTTAATTCACTATAGACTATTAGTTACACCGAGGGGTAGGTATAATGCAAGGCGTGTTTTGAAAAAGACGAAAATCCGGATTTTGCCATTATATAGGTATTTATTCTAATCCAATTTCTTTTGTTTGCAAAATTTTGGCTTAGAAAAACCCATTAGTAATGAATTAGCAATTATCAATAAAGTAATAAATTAGTTAGAAACAGAATATTAAATAATCCGATAAAAGTACAACATTAGATAGGTATTATTTGTAGACATTATCTTTGGACTATGATTTAATAACATTCTTAAATTTTTTTTGCTATGAAACATTCTCTTTATGAATATAAGTATATAATATCATCACGCCTTTTATCCCAAATTATATTTAAAAATATAATTAGTCCGTAAGTTGGGTAATGAAAAAATATTAGACACGTATTTTTTTATTTTGTCGGATAATAAAACAATACTTAGATAAAACGAATCAAAGTTTAGGAGTGGGGGCTAAAACGTCATTTCTACGTATAAAATGAACATAGAACTGACGTCATGCGACATTTCAAATGAATATATCGTCGAAAGTATTCGTTTTTGTAAAAAAATAAAAAATACGTGTCTAATGATTTAAAATAATCTACCAGACGGACATTATAATAAAAATTAGGCATCTACCCTATTCTGATTGGACGACAGCATTAAGTGATCAATTTATAGTTTTTAAAAACGTTAATATTCTCCATTGTGTAGTCTGTGTACATAAATTATAGATGTTCTATGTTAATAGTAATTTATTCAAAAAACAATGATTTTGATAACTTTTATTTAAGATAACTTAAATATAGATAAGGAGTTTCCGGCGTAAATACACAATGTCGTCAGTTTATAGATATTTTAACTTCCGATTTAATCTCGTTGATTGAAATGAGATTAACTTTATAATTATATCCGTAATTGTATTGATTTTAAGGAATTCGTCCTTCGTTTCGTGCCGGCTACGGCTTCGGCACAAATGGTCCGGCTCGGCCGGTGTGATACCACGGCGTCACAGAAAACCGACGTGAAACAACCACAGCTTTGTGTTTCGTCGTGTGAGTGAGGTTACCGGAGGCCCAATTACCCCGTCCCCAATCTCCCCAATATCCGAGTCCCAACAATCCTCAAATTCCTAATCCCCAAAAGGCCGGTAACGCCTTATACATCATTAAACTAATTATTCTGTTTTCTGGGTACTGCTGTTTGACAAGGGACATTATTAATTAATTAATTATTTTAAAAATATATAAAAACAATAATTAATTAATTAATAAGTAAAAATGTATACATTATTGTTCAGACATAATACTACTACTACTACTATTATTATTCAAATTCAAATAAAGAAAAAAATACAAATTCAATTTATCTGAAAATACTTTATTCATTATTTTTCACATCATCAGTGAAGATTCCCACATTCACGTGCCGGTAGAACATAATCCAGTATAGTAGTTAGCTCTTCCTACGAATGAACATTTTACCAGCATATGCAGCTGGAGTGGTCGCTCCTGGATAACACGTTGCCAGGTATATACAAGTCTGGAAAAATACTTCATATTAGTTTCACACGAATTAACCCTTTGAGTACCGTTATTATAGACACAATTAAAGAACAATAGGTTGCGGTCACCGGTGTCCTCGCGGTGTTTGACAGTTTAAGTGGGAGAGCCATGCTTCGTCACGAAGCTGTCAAAAACCCCGAGAGGACACCGGTTACCGCAACCTATTTGTTGTTCTTTAATTGTGTCTATAATGACGGTACTCAAAGGGTTAAGTTGTAGGTAAAGAATAAATATCACATATCTTTTTTTACCTTCAAATTGTAATCGAACAAGGTTCCACGATCGCAAGCCATGAAGATTTTACCACCGTACATGCATTTGTAGTATCTGGAACAATCGTCCTCATGGGGCAGTAAGTACTCTGTCTCGTTGTCCTTTGGACATTCTTGGGACGATAAATCTGTGGGGTTTTCTGCTGATGGTAAAGATGCTGATGGTGATCCCTTACTTGTTCCAGGATAACATGTCACCAGTTGTGCTATTACGCACATCTGGAAAAGTTTATTTAAATTAGTTTCATATTTCAAAGCCTCGAACACAGGCTGCAAGCCTACCGGCTATCCTAGTGTGCGTTGGAATTACACGACTTGATACCACCTGGTCCTTTCTATCATCGTACCAATTGGCAAAGCGTCCCCGATTCATGGTGGATATCCCACCTGCACGCACGGAGCGCTTCGCATCAAGCTTCCTTGTGCGTACTGGTAAGGAGTGGAATTCTTTGCCAGAGTCTGTATTTTCTGAAGGGTGTCTTCAAGGCCCGAGTGAATAGGTTGCTTATGGGACGACGTGCTCCATCGTAGACCGCATCATCGCTTACCACCAGGCGAGATGGTGGTCAAACGTCGTCCCAGTCTAAACGTGGTTACTTCATTGACGCCGGCCAATCAGGTTGCCAAACGCGTACCCGTTTCGATTACTTTAAACGTACATCAAACTGGTACTAAGGCGTCTGGTCACGTGTAGAATCGATTAACCAACGGGCGATATCTTTAAAGACAGAAATAAAATGACTTAAATATTTATTCACCTGAAGCTTGTAATCAAACAGTTTTCCATTCAAGCAAGGCATATCAAGTGTCTGTCCATTGTTGCATACATAATAATGGCCACAATCTGTTTCGTGGGGTATCAGGGTACTATTACCACTGGAGTCTACAGGACAACTTTTAGGACCGGTTAATGGCAACGGAGTGGCTGTTGGTGCTGAAGTTGATGTTGATGTTGATGCTGGTGTTGATGTTGATGTAGAACTTGATGTCGGATTAGAATTTGATGCAGAATTTTGGCAATTGACTGCAAACGGCAAGTTGCACACCTGTGAAGATGATGTTGTATTTATATTGGTCTCTGTTTCAACATATCAGCCATAGAATGTCCATTGCTGAACATAGTCGTCCCCCAATGACTAAGGCCTATTTTCTTTGTTTTATTTTTCTTTAATTATTTACAACTTCAACCGTCGCGTCGTGTAATGCTGCTGATGAATAATACAAAGTCAAAACCAAAATCATTTATTTCAATTAGACCAGATAGGCACTTTTGAACGTCAACGACAAAAATTTAGAAGTGAAGCTAGTTGCTCATTCCAAGGTGTAGATTCCTATGGAGAAGAACGGGCAACTCCATAGGTTACTCTGTTTCAATATGACCATCTAGAGCCGCTTGACTGACAACTAGTCGACCTAGACAACTAGTCGAGGTCCTCATCAAATACTTACGTGAATAAGCTGTAAAACAATAATTTAATTTTCGTCACGAATGGGCCGGCTCGACCGGAGTGATACCACGGCCTCACAGTAAACCGACGTGAAGCAATGCTTGCGTTGTGTTTCGTCGTGTGTGTGAGGTTACCGGAGGCCCAATTACCCTTCCATTTCCCCAATCTACCCAATCCCATCCCCAACGATCCTCAAACTCCTAATCCCCAAAAAGCCGGTAACGCACTTGTAACGCCTCTGGTGTTCTAGGTGTCCATGGGCGACGCCGATTGCTTACCATCAGGTGATCTGTATGCTCGTTTACCGGATTATGCCATAAAAAAAACAGATTAAAATAACTATGACTTACTCCTAAATTCACATCGAATAATGTGCCGGACGTACATGTCATTTCAACCTTGTTGCCATTGTTACAAATGTAGAATTTCGAGCAGTCGGACTCGTGCGGCCGAAGTACACTTGTGTATGAGTTTGCTGGACAGCCATTGGGCAGATCCTGATCTGGTGTCCCAATTATCACCGATAGAAATGTGAGAGCTGTGTACATATCGGCTGAAAAATAAAGGTAAACATGTTTAGACCGAATTAAATAATATTGGATTGGAACTAATTACCTAACGATAAATTATCCGACAAACGTACCTAGCAATTAACGCATACATGCATATCATCGCGCCTTTTATCCCCGAACGTGTAGGCAGAGGTACATATTACGGCAATTAATGGCACTGCACAATGTAGCATCCACTTTTAACTATTTATGTTATGAGTCCCATGTAATAGGGGGTGAGCCTATTGCCATATACCGGGCATATTTCAAGACTCCGTACTACTACTGAGATTTTTTTTAAAACCCAGTAATTCTTTGCCGAGGCCCTTGGCCGGCAGTCGCACTTGCGACCTCTCGGCCAACGAGGCAATCAATCAACGCAAATGGTCTCGAGTTTGGAATCAACCATTCGAGCAAAGAAGTATAATTTCTAACACATTAATAAAAACCATATAACTAAAATAGAGAACCTACATTTTGTACAGTTGGTTAATGAAATTCTCCTATCCTAATCTTATATATATATAAAAGAAAGTCGTGTTAGTTACACTATTTATAACTCAAGAACACCTCAATCGATTTAGATGAAAATGGGCGGGGAGGTAGCTTAGAACCAGGAGACGGACATTATATAGAATACTTTTTTTACTTTTTACCGAACGGGGGGAAAATGGGATTGCGTGTACGAAGTCGCGGGCAGAAGTTAGTAATACTATAAATGCTTATGTTTGTTAGTGTTTCACGTAGAAACTACTAGACGGTTTTCGATGAAATTTGGCACTAAGATAGATTGTACTCTAGAATAATATATAGGGTAATTTTTATTCCAAAGACGAGGGGCGAAACCGCTACCAGAAGTATTGTTAGTCATAAAATTATATTTGTTAATAAGAATCGTCATATTATGTTCGGTTCTTGGAGCTCTGCTCGGCATTATTTAACAAGATATTTATAATAATAAATTAACTCAGCCTGTTTAGGGAGTGACTCTTAAAAAACCTGTTTAAACTACACAACCAATCAAGTTCACATTTTAAACAGAACCGACCAATCGTAGAACTGATGTCTGTGATTGGTCATTGTCATGATTGATGATTTCAACCTTTGACGTCATCATCATAAATTATAATTTTCTATGAATTTCAAATTGTTTATCTTCAAATATCTTTTTGTTAACCTTTTTTTAGTCAAAAAGTAATCGATTACGAAACTTCACAGCAATTTTTAAGCCAAAGGATAGTTTTATTGCATTTTCCTTTAATATTGTTGCGACGATTTTGATGAAATTAACCCAAGATATAGATTACAATAGATATAATTTGATAATATAAGGATTTGGAAATCGAATTTATTATTCAGTTTAATTCTTTTGTGATAAAGCGCGAGAAACGACGTGTGTGAACATTAGTTTAGTTAATTTATTTAATAGTATACTATTAAAATTAATCGCGGTAATAATACTAAAAGATTCACATTATTGCGTGCAAAAAAAAACAAAAAATATTTATTATTATAATTAAATAGTAAAAGTAAATTAATATTAATTTTATCAATTACGTATCAGTTGGAACAGGAACCAAGAGTTTCTAATCAGCCTAAAATGTTTTAGTGTACATGTAAAAATTATAGATATTTTTCCGGTGACGCGTTTTAAGATTTTGTGATAATAATATACGCGGCTGATATATTCACCGATACTTGACAATTGAGTTTAATTGATTTACATAAACGGGTAAATAAACATCGGTAATCGAAAGTGCGGGGAATAAAAAATATTTTCGATAAAGTGCAGCCCTTCGTGGCTTAGTGATGTTATTATTATTATTTTGAAATAATAATCGTGTAATAATACTAAAAATAATTTGTTTATTTATTAGTGATCTGAGATTAATAGATTAAGGTGAGTGCTGGTGTTTTATTTATTTTTATACCTAATAGTAATCGTTTAAATAATAATATTGGGCCTTCGTTCTTCAATTATTATTATTTATTTACAATATTCGGGACTCTTTTTAAATATCTTTATTATAATACATTAAATTAATCAATACTGTTTGTAAATAATTACTAATATTTATAAATTTTAATAATTTCCAAATAGATAATAGAAAGTGTCTATATTTAAATACTATTACAGGTATGGTATATTAAATATACTTGCAATTATAATTTTAAATAGTAATCAACCAAATAACACAAACTTACCGTTAATGGCTCAGATAAAAAATATTAAATATAAGTCGTTTCTTTTACAATGACTCCGTAAAGTAGCTGTAAAATTATACAGTTACTTTATAATTAATACATTGTAGATAATAATACGAAACAAGATTTATAGTCATGCTAATTTATAAAATTATATTTTCGAATTTAATTTCTTTGTTATTTGAATAAAACGTTTACGAAAATGGTGTTTTTAAGGTGAATTAGTGTTAAAAGTAATTATTATTTTGAATTAATAATAATTATTATTATAACATGTTATTTTAGTTTAATAATATTGCTAAATTAGATTTTAGTAATAGATTTAATAGATTTGTATTGTAAGTAGTAACTCCTTAAAGGGGTAGGTAGAGAATATGTTATGCATGAAAATAGTTAGGTTGAGTCTATTACTATTATTTTGTAACGTTTTTGGAAACATCCTTCGGTTGTGTAAAATTATGATATAATTTGAAGATAATCAGTCAAATTACTAATGTGTTGTGCAATTCATGCAAGAAAACCGTGACACTGAAGATTGTATACGAAGATAATTGTATGACTAATTTTTACTTTGATTAACCGTCTTCATTACTACCTACCAACTTGAACTCTGAGGCGTAATGTTATATCTCGTTATGTAGTTCAAACTGCATTTTGAATGCTCAGTTAACGTGAAGCAGGTTCATTTCATACGAAGCAACTCTTTGTGTGATCCATAAATGGTTGTTCCGGGTCTGGGTGTCACGTGTATGTTAACTTGGTATGTTTGTAAACGCACCCACGACACAGGAGAAAATTGTGGGGCAACGGTTTTTTTTTAAATAAAACCGTTAGACTAGTTTACTTTAATAAACTATCATTAATTAATTCGGTTTGACAATATTATTATATGCATTTTTTATGGTAAGGCCGGGAAAAGAGCCGACGGATCACCTGATGGTAAACAATCGGCGCCGCCCATAGACACCTATAACAATAAATAAGTTCACCAAAGGTTTTAAGTTCGTTACCGGCCTTTTGGGGGGTTAGGTATTTAAGAAATGGGGAATTTGGGGAAGAGAAAATTGACCTCCGGGAACCTCATTGACGAGGCGATTTTCAAACGGCTTTAGCCGTTATTGAACTATCTTTGCGAGAACGAATCAAAAATGAGATCCGTAAACGAACAAAAGTCGCTGACATAGCTCAGCAGACTAGCAAATTGAAGTGGCAGTGGGCAGGGCATATATCGTGGAGAACCGACGGCCGCTGGGGTAGATAGGTTCTCGAGTGGAGGCCACGTACCGGCAAGCGCAGCGTAGGACGTCCATCCGCAAGGTGGACAGACGACCTGATCAAGGTCGCAGGGAACCGCTGGATGCAGGTCGCTTACAACTAGCTTATTTGGAAGTCATTGGGGGAGGCCTATGTTCAGCAGTGGATGTCTCATGGCTGATGATTAAAACATTATTTAGTTTGCCCCTTTTGTTTGTTTGGGTTCAAATTTAGGAAATGAAATTTCACCCCTTTCCTGAGGACAGATCCATATGATTTTTGGTACACACTCTTTATCGTGATGACCAAACATTATATCTAATTGTTTTCACAACTACTTCCATTAGATATGGATTTCAAACATAAGTAGAATAGAGTTAATATAAACCGTTAAGCATAAAAGTATTGTTGTATGTATTACTTGTTAAAATTATATTTGTTTTTCCACAGATATGTACAAAGCTATCACATTTTTGACGTTGATAGCCGCGTCGTCAGCCCAGTTCCTGCCCAATGGCTGTCCATCAGACTTTCTAGTACACCTGCTCTTACCACATGAGTCAGACTGTTCAAAATACTACAGTTGTAGTAATGGCAACAAAATTGAGAAGACTTGTGGACCCGGCACACTATTTGACGAGGATTTGCAAGTAAGTCGCCAGTATTTATTTTATTTTATAACCTCCCTGGGATTTTTTTTAAGGTTGGAAAATCATCGAATGTCTTCTCCCGCCTGGGTGAGGCGGAAGGGAGTGTCAGACTCTTACTGACTAAAAACCACCCTGTTCCTTCTCCTGCACTTCGAGCCGGAGCGGGGTAGCCTTTGTTATTCAGACTATAATTACACCTGTTTCGTATTCCAATAAATAAGCTAAGCTGATACTTTATATACATAACTTAAATCATAAACATCACGCCTTTTATCCCCGAAGGGGTAGGCAAAGGTGCACATTAATGCCTCTGTACAATGTAACACCCAATTTTAATATACAGACAATAAAACTGCAACTTAATCTTCCAGGTCTGCAACTGGGCGTTCCAAGTTAATTGTCCACATCCACTACCAAGTTCATCTTCAACAACATCAACTTCAACAACAACATCAACAACACAGAGGCCTACAGACTTCCTACCCAATGGATGTCCTTCAGACTTCACTATAACATACTTGCTCCCCCACGAGACGGACTGTGATAAGTTCTACAGTTGCAGCAATGGACAGAAAATTTTGATGCCTTGCGCCGCTGGAACATGGTTCGATTACGATTTGCAGGTAAAGAAACAAAGAAGTTTTCACTATGCTATTTTAAAAAAAATACAATTTGATCGGCAGTAAGGTGCCTAGTAGTACCAAGCATTTAAAGTTACAAAAAAGATTAGATCGGAAATATTACAAAGAACACATTATTTTTAGCGTTGCAACTACCCGCACTTGGTGAACTGTACCCCGGGGTCTACAACAACGACATCAACTTTACCACCAACAACACCCGTAGATGACCCCACAGCAACACCAGAAGAGCCAGTTACTGGTACAA